ATGTTCCTTATTTGTACAAAAAATGTACATTATGTATGAAAAATGTTTATTGCCATTAAAAATGATCACTGTGTATTTAAAATGTTGACCACATATTCAAAAAATATTAATATTATATTAAAAGTGTATTAAGAAATGTATTAGATATATAAAAAATGTACAATGTGTATGGAGAAAATTAGACATAAAAAATTATACGTTTTCAAAAATGTTAATCATGTCTTTCAAAATGTTAAACATGTATATAAAAAATGTTTCCGATTTATAAAAAAAGTATTGAATGTGAACTGAAAACATTTCACATGTGTTGAACAAAAAATGAAGCAATGAAAAATCGATAAAGAAACAAAAAACAAAGAAACTCGATGTAAACTAATCCGAAAAACAGAGAAAACAAAAAAGAGAAAATGAAAACCGAAGAGAACCAATGCGAAAGGATGAAAACAAATAAAAGCAATGAAGAAACAAAGAAAAAAATCAACTAAAACACAAGAAAGAAAGAAAGAAAGAAAGAAAAACAAAGAAAATGAAGAAAGAAAGAAAAGAAAAAAAATCCCAGTAAAAACCTCAAAGAAAAAATCAGTGAAAAACATGGAAGAAGCAAAGAAACCCGGTGAAAAAGCAAAGAAAACAGAAAACAGGTGTAAAAATAAAGAAACCCAAAAGCAAAAACAAAATGAAAACGAAAAAGAACTGAAGAGAACGAGCGAAGTCAAGCCAGACGGCTAGCACGAGCAAGCGAATAACGCACAAAAATAAGCCGGCCCAATAGTGTAGGGCGCAGATAAATACTTCAGGCGAAACGGCAGGTAGCCTTGCTATAAACAAGATATAGTTCTCGCACCTATTGAACACATTAAGCGTCGAATTGCCCTCGACTCACACAGGAGCGAGCGAATACCGAACAGGCCCTAAGCCGTTTCACATTTTCCTGTGTACTCCTTTCTTTTAAACTAATATAAAAGCATTTAGATTACTAAAAAAGCATTTTAGATTACTACTTTAATGATCTAAACACTTTTACATTAGTTTACACTGGAAGTACGTACCTAAACCCTATAGCGCGCTAGTGGATCGAGGACAAACCGGAAAAACGCTCCATCGAACCGAAATACATTAGCTAGGAAGTTTCTTGGTCAGCTTGAAAAACAAATCCAA